CTAAACCCTAAACCCTAATGATAAATCACCGTTAGCAGATCACTCCCAGACTACAAAAAAGCGACTCGTGGCCTGGACGGAAGGAGCAGTTCTTCACCTAAAAAACGGCCTTCATCATGAGACTGGGGTTTTGGCAATGGTTTTGGCGAAGATTATGCTATGATTTTGATCAGGAGCCTCCAAAATAGTAAAAAAGGTTTAGGGCCCAAAAAATTACAACAAAAAGCTGGGCATCCAAGAGGCTTGTGCCCTGTGGAATTGTAAAGGGCGGCGCCGACTGTGTATGAGGCGTCGTCCACATCGCTGTGGCACTGACTGCTGTCGCACCTGGAGCAGTCAGGGCATTTGAAGGCCCTGGGACTTAGGAAGAGAGAGAACGAGAGCGAACCACAAACATCGAGAAATGGACAAAGACACCACAGGGACAGACGAAGAGAGAAACACATGGAACGCATGGATCCATGGATAGGTGCAGCTTATCGCTCGTTGGTGTGCAAGTATGTACCCATGCATGTGTCATGCATTGCGTGTCTGCCTCGCTTAATTGATTCGTCGACTGGTTTGTGCGATTTTCCCGTGTTTTGCGGAGGGGATGGATGGATGGCTGGGTGGATGGACGGATGGATGAACTTCAAATTTACAACAACAGATCCCATGGCCGCGACTTTGGAACTGCACATCTCCACGTGAACCCTGGCCATGGCAGTGTTGATATCTCACCACGGGAGTTCCCCCAAAATAGGCGACCCTGAAGTGTATACCGCAAGATGCAGATTCCGAGCTTCAGGCATAAGGACCCCAATCCTGCACTGATACTATGATTTCCGCTGGAAAAGAGGTACAACCCCCCACCTCACACGAAGGCTCACGTTCAAAGGTCGGCAGCCAGCAACACCACAGCGTGTCAAGTCGGTGGTGAACTTCCGTGTGTACATGTAGTGTCTGCCAGAACCTGGGTCGTTCAAGTCATCAGGGTCTACCTGAACACTATAAAACCAACTGCTTTGAGGCTCCTTCCTATGGCTTCCTTGAAAAGGTTGGCTATTTGGGTTTACGTAGGGTGATAGGTTTCCGGGATCGAAGGCCGAGTTTGCTGTCTAGGGATCCAGGGTTTCAGGGCTTGTTGCATAGTCAAGCAAGAGCTCAAGCCCAAAGCACAAAAACTTATCCGACTTGTGGATGCTACATGTCATAGTCCATCCTGAACCCCACGACACACTCATGTTCTCAACGGAACAGCTTACACACCATTGAAAATATCTATATGTATACGCAATGTAACTCTGTGAGTGCAAACCTGCATATGCAGAAAGATGGATAGACAGATAGGTTCCTAGAATCTAATATGCAGAAGTGTTCTTGTAACCCGCTCTTGATTTGCGATTCTTAAGGCTACCCATAGGCCCTAAAGTAGTCCCTTTTGGAGGTTCATAGATAGAATCCTATAAGGTAACCCCAAAAAGGAACTACTATGGGGCCTGCGGGAATTCTTGGCTTTAAGGTCCTTCGCCGGGTAATGAGGTTGGGCTTCGGATTTAGCTTCATGGGCTGGGGAACGAACTAATTAGCTCTAACGGTAGGGTTTAGGGTTTAGGGTTTAGGGTTTAGAGTTTAGGGTAAAGAAAGACTGTGACTACGTACCAACAACGAAGACAAAACCCTAAACTAAGGACTTGTGATCTGCCCGAAGCGCTGGTGGTGGTGAATGCCGATCCGAACTTCTGTGTCACATCAGCAGGAGGAGCCAGCAGAACAAGATCGAGGCACTGAGAACCCACCTGGGTGCTTCTTAAACGCTTTAAGGTTCAGGGTTTATAGGCCTTGAATCACAAGCGACACCTAGACCGCAACTAGTTTGCTGTTTTGTGTTAGACGGCTTCCGTGCTGAAGGATTCCTATACTAAAGCTTGTTAACAAAAAGGAACTACATGGCGGGATACAGGTATGGGGCGTTACAAGGACTCGTGGCTTGGATCCCCGTGGTGTACATTCGGATCCCGGAGTGCTCCGGTTCTTCCAGCTTTGGACGCAAAGGATCGGCCTCACGTCATGATCGCCATAGGATTCCAGCATCCACGTTCGGAATGAACATCACCATACAGAGAGAGGAATACAGAAATTGAACAATTGGACTAGGGTTTCGGAGTGGCTATGCTGGAATAAAATTCAGGAACCCTAACGAATACTGATGCAACAAATCTCTCTCTCTCTATATATATATATATACACACACACTCTGTATAGCATATATGCACACAATATATAATATCGTATGTGTAAATATATGTATGTATATATATATATATGTATCTATATAATCCATGTTGCATATATAGTATATAGACTGCCGTAAACAGTATATACATATATGTACACTATATGTACTATATAGACTCCGTACATAATATAATATATAAGAGAACCTAATACAATACATGTTCATATTATATGTTATAACATAATATGATGCATACACACATATACTGAATATACTCTACATATACACTACGCATTATATAGTGTATATACAATTTCTTATTATCATTTTCAGGAAAGGCCTCTATATTGATTCCGGATTCGGGTCACTTCTCGGATCCAAACCAGTGAGAGCATTTTAGGGTTTAAGGCTTTGCACGAGGATTTGGGGTTTCGGGCTCTGGGGCTTAGAGTTTGTTGGATTTAGGAGTTTACAGAAACATAACACCCTTGTGATAACGACGCCCGTTTAGAAATTTGCAAAACCACCTACCCATCTGTGCAAACGCTGCTGAATCAGCACTGCCACCTTAACGTGCTCCGGAGAGCATTCGGAGCACTCCTCACCTTTGTAGCCCGCATCACATACGCAGCCGCCAGTCACAGCAACACCATGCTCGCCACAAGCCAAACCAAAGTTGACATCTGTCTCGCAGTCTTCCTTCGGCAGGGTGAAGAAATACCGCCCAAAGTTGGAGATTCCAACCGTCAGAAAACTCCCCGAAATAGAGTCTAGGGCTTGTGCTGCTGTATTTCGCAAGCTTACGTAAGGAATTGGGGCTTATGATAAGAATGGTCCACGAAGCACCCCCTATCTTGGACCTTGAGTTTTGAAATACTCCAGGTGAACCAGCAACTTGTAATGCAATCCCCCTGAGCCTGGGCCCCTCAGAGGCTAAGGAAAGGAGGGGCCCAAGCGCCGGGGCCTCCAAGTATTTGAGAGCCTGAGTGTTCATATACTTCCAAACCAGGCCTTTAGGGTTTAGGGGTTTAGGTCTTGGGGTTTAGGGTTTAGGGTTTAAGGGTTTTTAAATGAGTTTAAGGTTTCAAGTTTAGGACTTTATACCCTACGACCCCCTAAACCCACTCCTGGTAGTGTGCGTTCAGGAATGAAGCAACAGCAGCGCCAACCTGCTTGATCGAAGTAGCCAGGGGAGCTGGTGGAGAGGAGCTGAAGCCCCTCATGACCTGAAGGCATGCCCTTTCCGTGCTTCTGTGTAATTAGGGATTAGGGTTCAGGGCTTTAGGGATTTAGGGTTTGGGGTTTAGGGACATTGAAGTTTCAGAGTAACTTACGCCAGAGTTTGAAAGCCTTGAAACAGTGAGTTGTCGGGCTCGGGGTCGGTGCTTCAAATGCGGATCTCGTGGGCTGAGGGCTTGGGAGCGAGCCGGAGGTGCCTTAAACCCTAAACAAAGCCTAAACGGAGCTTCCGGATCATGGTTTTGAAGCAAAGCATGCCCCGGCTGAGAATCTAGGTCGAGAATCGGTTATCTGAGAGGCAACACCGTACACGCAGTGCACCTTTCCCGAACCCTCCAGGTACCTACTATGTAGGGCCCTCTAGGGGCTCTAGTACCCTATATAGTAGGTGCCTGGGGGATTAGGGTTTGGTCCCCGAAACCTTAAACCCTAAACCC